AAGCGCCGTGCGCATTTTACTTTCACTTTCTCGAATTGGCGGCAGTTCGGCGTCAATTGCTTGAATGCAACAACAAAATACAACGTCAAACTCACTTTAGCCTATATATAAAACATAGAACTTTTATTAACAAAACAAATACAAATACACCATGCTAATATAAAATAACAAATAACTTACATAAAGTTTAAATGGGTACACAAAACTGGAAATAGGCTAAGTAAACATATATAACATACAACCAAATAAATAAGAAACGTAGGACTTTTATTAGCAAAACGAGTAAGAAAGCTTGGAGGCACACCTTGGTGTCAAATAAAATAAATAAATGACAAAGTTTAAATAAAGTAAAAATCAGCAAACAATGTGGAACCAATTAAATAAGAAACGAATGTTTAAAAAAAACTTCCAAAATCACCTTAGATAAACGGCAAAATCAACACGCTTTTCAAAGTCCAAAATATTGCCAAACAGGCGCTTTTGCATTTCGATTCGAAACTAAATCATCCGCGATCGTCTTGTCTGTCTCACCTCACTCTTCTTGTCAGTCAGCTCGACTCACTCTCCTCACTGGAGAAATTAAATCTGATCTGTGATGCGACTGTCGTTCTGCACGCTGCATTGAGCAGCTGCGTTCAGTTTTTAATCACAGATTCAGCACACGCGCAGAGAGACAAACACAGATTCAGCACACGCGCAGAGACAAACACACAGATTCAGCACAAGCGCAGAGAGACAAACACAGATTCAGCACACGCGCAGAGAGACAAACAGACAGATTCAGCACACGCGCAGAGAGACAAACACACACAGATTCAGCACACATGCAGAGAAACAAACACACAGATTCAGCACACACATTCCCTGACGATCTGAGATGGGACACTTACCACGATCCATTCGGCAATGTTCTCGTACAGCTCCGGGTTGAAGATGGCCTTCTTCAGGCGCGCTAGAGGACCATCGGCGTCCACCAGACGACACTTCATGAAGACATCGCAGTAGCCCTTGAAGTCATTGCAGGGCGAGCCGGCCTGAAGAGTGGTGACCTTCTTATTGAAGAAGCGAGCGAGACGTTCCGAGCCTGTACTGCTGCAGGTGCTGGGGTTCACTGCAGAACACACACACACACGAGAGAGAGAGAGAGAGAGAGAGATTATTTACACATCTCTTCAGAGGCTGAGTGAAATGTCAAAAGTGACCGAATTACACACAATCAGTGTAAAGAATAAAAAAAAAAAAAACACTGTGGACACAACACGGTAGTGTTTATCGCATAATTACATTTTTCCAGACGTGCTGCTGCTGGGATCAGACATGTGACGCTATCAGCTTCTGATAATTGATAAAACCTGAATTATCATAGTGAAATCCATTGAAAGATAAACTTCGCTATTGTTTTTAATGATGTTTTAGTTATTTTTAAACACCAACTGATATTAAAAATATGAAATCTAAATGAATATTTAAATAAATCCACATATAAATCATGATTTAAAGACAAGTGAATATGCAAAGTAGATTTGCATTTCATGTGAGAGCATTTTCTGATTGAAAATAATGAAGTGTGTTGAGCAGGGGAGTAATAACCATCTTTAATTTAAGCACGGTAATTTAATTAGCTAAGTGGTGTTTATTACACAGCTCTCTATATGTGGTTCTGATTGGTCAGTCGCAGCCTTTAGTAATCAGATATAGTCACTGATAAAACAATCTTGTTTCATACAAATGCAACTGGCGCCATCTTGTGTTTCATTTAGCTACTGCACTGAAAAAAGACTAGTTACAGTGCATATTATTCTCCAAATATTCTGGTGTATGCAGAATACATCCGAAACAAAAATGAACTTCATTAAAAATCAGTGCTTTCATATTCACGGATAATACAGGAATTTGAATTTGGCAGCATGATCTTTATTAATCTGACGTGTACATTTGGTTCTGATTATTATAATCCTATATTATTATTAGTCATCATAATTGATCATTAAATTGTGTTGTGTTAAAGTGTTCTGAATCTCGACTTGTTGATGGAAATGAAGCTACCGTGAGAAAAAAGAAATGAAAGCAATTACAGTAATATGCTATCTAGAATTATTAGCTGTTTTGAACAGGATTTTGGCAAGTTTTGTTAAATTTAAGAGTTTAAGACCTTTAAGAAAGAAATTTAAAAGGAATAAATTAAAGGGAACAATATGTCATTATGTTTTCTTAATCAGTTGTTTTAGCACCACTTCAATGTTTGAAAATACAACGTCCAACCAAATCACAATTGTTTTTTTCATTCATTAAAGCAGGGGTGCCCAAACTCGGTCCTGGAGGGCCTGTGTCCTGCAGAGTTTAGCTCCAACCCCAATTAGACACACCTGAACCAGCTAATCAAGCTCTTACTAGGCATGCTAAAACCTTCCCCCCAGGTGTTGAGGCAAGTTGGAGCTAAACTCTGCAGGACACCGGCCCTCCAGGACCCTGCATTAAAGGGTTAGTTCACCCAAAAATGAAATTTACCCCATAATTTCCTCACCCTCAAGCCATTCTAGGTGTGTATGACTTTCTTCTTTCAGACGAATCCAATCAGAGTTATATTAAAAATTGTCCTGGCTCTTCCAAGATTTATAATGGCAGTGGGCGTATGTTTCTGTTCCAACAGTCCAAAAGAAGTCCAAAAAGCGCATCCATCCATCATAAAAAGTGCCTCACATGGCTCCGGGGGGTGAACTAGGATATAGCGTAAGGTCTGGTGAGAATATGCTAGTCTCGCGAGAACCGACGTTTGTTTACAGGAGAGAAGGAAGCAATGCTTTACTTTAGCAAAGGAAAACCAGTCTCCTCCCACATTTTTCTCTACAAATCCTCGTTTTATGCTTCTAATTCGTGACCAGTGTTTTGCTCTCTCTACATTAAAATAACTTTTACTGTACTTCTGATCACACTGCAAAATGTGATGTTCTTCCTCAGTATTTTCCTCAGTCTTGTTTTCCAGTGCAAATGTCTAGATGCATATGATAATAAACAATGGGCTCAGAAAAAATCTACTTAATTTAAAGAGAAACAAGTTTTCATTCCCCACTTTTTGTTATTTGTTCTTGTTTTAATCACAAACTCACTTCATTTTGCTCAGAAAACAAGACTTCATATGTTCATTTTGTATCTCCAGTAAATCTTGATTTAAGGATGTTTAGACATTTGTACTGGAAAACAAGATAAAAATACTGAGAAAGATGTAAATTTTTTGCAGTGCATGCAACATTTATTGCCATGACTTTATGATTTTAAGACTTTCTGCTCTGATTTAAAAACTTTTAGGGCCTTAATTTGTGGACATTTTAAGACCTGCAGAAACCCTGCTTGAAGTGTTGCTGTGCATATAAATTTTCGTGAAATATCAGAATCTGTGCGTGTCACTGTGTGAAGCGGCTGCAGCAGAGGTCTGTACTGACTCTTCTCCATGCAGCACACATGGCAGAGCTCGGTCTCGTCTTTGCCATCCACGCTGGCGCAGGTGCAGACCTCCAGCCCGTACTTCTCACAGATGGAGCCGGAGCAGCCCTGAAACAGAGAGAGCAGGAGTGAGACGGCTGCTCCGTCACTGACACACACACACACACACACACACACACACGCATGTGAAGTAGGGCTGTCAAAAAAATTTCGAATTTCGAATATTCTTCGAATTTAAAATAAAAATCCACATTCGAATGCAAAAACATTGCATTCCAATTTTAGGCGTGCGTTAGGCCGCCTTATCAGTGGCGCACGAGATGCGATGACGATGTAAGTGTCGTTGCGTTATAATGTTTTTGTTAGTCTATCCAGTTGAAGCCACTAGATGCGGCGCTGCTGCGTTGTTCATTACAAATATTGCGTGAAAATAGAACATAAATGCGGAGAAGATCTTGTTTACGTCAAAACTGAAACCAGCCGTTCACACAGAACACATATTTATCACATTTTCTAGAGGGACATCTATCAGCGTTGCACTCGCACAAAGGAGCCGCATGTCTAGAAAGCCATGTAAAATGAATGCAAGTTCAACTTTGAAAAAAACATATCCCGAGACTTTATGGCGGGTTTTCTCCCATCCCACTGCAACTCGTGTTTTTAAATGAAAAATGTACTCTGTGTGATTGGCTTTCGGCCCTTTGTATTAAACTATGCATACATACATAACGCTGTTTTGTTTATAGTTGTTTAAGCAACTTAATTAATTATAACTGGTTTATAAACATTATTTTAAACATTATGCACTTTTTTCACAGATAGTCATGTTATCTTATGCTTTGAATAAACGTGCATTAGTAATATTTTGCTCGATGCGCCCTCTTGTGGCCTCAGGAGAGAAGCCAAAAGCTATTCTTCACCATAACGGAAATTATGCATTTAAAATTTGAATATAATTCGAATTTTGATAATATTTAAGTACAAAATTCGAATTTAGTTTTTCAGCCATTCTGACAGCCCTAACGTGAAGATCACTCACCCCGTTCAGGCAGACCTGCGTGTCCCCGTGGCAGGCGGTGAAGTTGGCTTTGGGCTCTGAGGTGGGGCACTGGGCCGAGGCGCCGTTACACATGCCTTGATGAGCACACTCCGACTCCTCACGACACTTCTCGTTGCGGCTCTTGTAGGAGCACTCGCCCGTGCAGCAGGGACCCTGACTCGGACTGCACACCACACACCACACAGATCACGTCATTCATGAGCATCAGATCAACACCTGAAACTAAATATCAATCCAATAGAAATAACGATGGAGAAACATGAGCTTTGTACCTGCAGACTTTGTTGGGCTTGAGTTTGCATTTCTTGATGTCTGGCTGATTGGCGTCGTAGCAGCACTCGTCTTTACACTGATCGCTGTAGCCGCAATCACACTCCTCACCCGGCTCCACCAGACCGTTCCCGCAGATATGCCGTCCCGTCGCTCTGAGACTCACCTACGAAACAGCTGCCGCGCTTCTTCTCCAGCACCTGGCTGATGTTCTTGACGCTGCAGACGGAGAACTTGTTGTTATTCAGCTTGTCTCCAGAAGTGGCTCGCGCGTACATGATGTAGTTCCCTCGCTCCTTCTTATCCTGGCTCTTGGACTCGCCCGGAGTGCACTCTGACCCGGAGTCATGCTGTGGACCATCATCATCATCACCATCTTTAAAGTCTCACAGCTCTTGAGACACTGAGATGAATAATAATCTTTTATTTATTTATATTTACATCAGGGTTTCTGCTGGTTTTATGGAGGTAAATTTAAGACTTTTTAAGACCTTTTCAAAAAGAAATTGCAAGGAATAAATTGAATGGAACGCAATATGTTCTTTTAATGAGTTGCATTATATACACTTCAGAGTTTAAAAATACAGTTTTCAATAGATCTCCATTACTTTTTTAACCAGTCTACAGTCTTAAATATCTCTGCTCACAAACTATACTAGAATATGAAACAACTTTTACTGTATCTTCTGCAAAACAACTGCTGCTCTTCCTCAGTGTTTCTGTCTCGTTTTCCAGTGCAAATGTCTGAAGATCCTTAAATCAATATACTGTACATTTACTTGAGAAGCAAAATGATGCAAGTCTTGTTTTCTGTGAATCTGATCAAAATGAAGTGAGTTTATGAAAAAAAAACAAGAACAAATATATGGAATCAGAAAAATCTACTTAATTCAAAGGGAAACAAGTCTTCATTCCCCATTGGCAGATATTTGTTCTTGTTTTAATCATAAACTTGCTCCATTTTGCTCAGTTTTTCAGAAATCTAGACATCATGCGTTCTTTTGCATCTCTTGTAAATGTATCTTGATTTAAAGACGTTTAGACATTTGTACTGGAAAACAAGACAAAAATACTGAGGAACAGATTAATTTTTAGCAGGTCACGCAACATCTAATTCAATTGATTAATTTAAGACTTTCTGCTCTGATTTAAGATTTTTTTAAGTCCTTAATTTGTGGAAGGACAAACTAAAACTTAACACATTTTTAAGACCAGCAGAAACCCTGAATGAATCAAGGAATAAATAAATCTGGTTGAAGTCATTAGTGTATCTGTTTTCAGACACAAACTAGCAGTCAAACATCTCCTCATGTCAGAGTGCCAGTGCAGTGACAGACACTCTCAAATAAGACACATGAAATGTAGTGATTTCAGCTCTGCTCACTCTGGACCTTCATCAGGGATGTCTGCTGGATCTTCATCAGCACTCACCGGGGAACCGAAGTTGTGTCCGACCTCGTGAGCGAAGGTGATGTGTGAGACTTTAGGAGGCACGTGCGAGGCGTAGTTCTGCACCGTGATGATCCCAGTGTTCAGAGACTTCTTCTTCCCGTCAGAATACAGCTTATTCTTCTCACAGATTCCACCAGAGCTCCCTGAGAAACACACGGCAGCATCAGAACCAGCCTGACGGAGAAAGCGCTTCATCTGAAGGGAAATCTTAATTACCGGCTGGAGCGCCGACCCAGGCCAGACCCAGCACGCCGTCGTCAAAGTCTCGGTCGGTGAAGACGTACGCCAGGCAGTAATCGTCGTGATTCTGCTCCGAGTTCAGCTCCAGAAACTTCTCCACGCCGATGTTAGCGAAGCGGAAAGGGTTGGAGCGATCGCGCTCGTCGCTGGTGGTGTTTATCTGAGACGAGACCAGCAGCGCTGTTAGAAACCAGCTGCTGTGCCTAAAGCTGGCTTATTAAAAACTAAAACCACCAAAAAAACATTACTTACTTAATTTAAAATAATATATATAAATACACTGTATATATAATATCTTCAAAAATGTTATTTCAGCTAGTTTTATATTTCAACATTTCACATTTTCAAGTCAATATGGAAGCCCATTTTTGCAACATAAGAAAAAAAATCATGCTTTGATAAATAATCATCATTAAATAAAAACTCGAAATGCTTTATGGAAACATTTCCAACTTTTTGTCATAATTTTGTCTGTTAAATATATTTATATTATATTATATCAAATATATTTTTCTTAAATATGATCTTTTTTCATGGGGAAGTCGTGGCCTAATGGTTAGAGAGTCGGACTCATAACCCAAAGGTTGTGGGTTCGAGTCTCGTACCGGCAGGGATTGTAGGTGGGGGGAGTGAATGTACAGCGCTCTCTCCCACCTTCAATACCACGACTGAGGTGCCCTTGAGCAAGGCACCGAACCCCAACTGCTCCCCGGGCGCCGCAGCATAAATGGCTGCCCACTGCTCTGGGTGTGTGTTCACGGTGTGTGTGTGTTCACTGCTGTGTGTGTGCACTTTGGATGGGTAAATGCAGAGCACTAATTCCGAGTATGGGTCACCATACTTGGCCACATGTCACGTCACTCACTTCACTTTTTTCTCATGTGGTGGAAATTGGCTTCCATAACGTACTAAAATAACAAAAATTAAAACTGAAATAAAAATTTATAAAAAACTACAGATGTTTAAAAAAAATTAATAAATAAAGACAATTAAATGACTAAACTTTAACTAAAATGAAAACGGAAAATATTAAAAGAAAAAAATCGGATCTAATTCAAAATATTATTAATACATTTTTTGTAACTAATATTATTTGTAACTAAATATTAGTTACAAACCAACTTGTGTGTATAACAGGGTTATTTACTAAAACTGAAATTATATAAAAAAAAAAAATTTAAAATTAAATAAATGTTAACTAGAAATAAACTATAAAAACTAAAAACACAATTTCAGCTAGTTGCTAAGACAACATTTCTCATTTTGTTTAGTTTAAGTCGATATGGAAGCATTATATATCACGTAAGGGGAAAAAAAGTCATGCTTTGGTAAATAATCATGACATTAAAAGTCATAATTCTGACATAAAATCTGAAATAATGACAAAAAAAAAGTCAAATATATGATTCAACAATGTATTTTTTTTCCTTACATGGTGGACATGGGCTTCGATAAAGTACGAAAAAACTTAAAACTGAAACAATAGAAAAAAAGACAACAATATGACTAAAACTTGAAAATTAAAATGATAATAGAAAAAAAACTAACTAACATTATAATGGTATCTGAATGATGTGAACTATCTAGAAGCGATTAGAGTCCTCAGGAGTTGAGTCTTTCTCTGCACATGCACTAATATGACATGAAATCACCCGTATCCTCTTGACCATGAAACTGATGTTGCGGATGCCCATGAAGTCTGTGCCCTGGTAGATGGCATCAATGGCCTTGACGTGACTGGAGATCTGCGCAGGAACACAGAGCAGCATCATCATCATCATCATCATCACTCACTGATCTAGCTGTCTCCGCAGGTCAGGACGCACCTGAGCGATCACGGCCTCTCTGGTCTTGTAGTACTTGTAGAAGAGGTGATCGGTTTGGATGAAGAGCTGGCAGGTGTTCTTCTCCACCTGCGTCATCCTCTTCTTCCTCAGCAACACGTGATCCTCCTGAAGGGAAAGACAGACGCTTGTGCAGCTGCAGTTTCTCTGAATAAGGAGTCAAGCAGACTCAGATGTCTGACCTTGGCCGGTTCCTCCAGCGCCGACGCCTGATACTTCTTCATTCGCTCAAACACAGACGAATCTGCACAGCCGCCTTCCGGCCCGTATCTGTGCGGATGGGGAAGTCGTGGCCTAATGGTTAGAGAGTCGGACTCATAACCCAAAGGTTGTGGGTTCGAGTCTCGTACCGGCAGGGATTGTAGGTGGGGGGAGTGAATGTACAGCGCTCCTTCCCACCTTCAATACCACGACTGAGGTGCCCTTGAGCAAGGCACCGAACCCCAACTGCTCCCCGGGCGCCGCAGCATAAATGGCTGCCCACTGCTCTGGGTGTGTGTTCACGGTGTGTGTGTGTTCACTGCTGTGTGTGTGCACTTTGGATGGGTAAATGCAGAGCACTAATTCCGAGTATGGGTCACCATACTTGGCCACATGTCACGTCACTCACTTCACTTTTTTCTCATGTGGTGGAAATTGGCTTCCATAACGTACTAAAATAACAAAAATTAAAACTGAAATAAAAATTTATAAAAAACTACAGATGTTTAAAAAAAATTAATAAATAAAGACAATTAAATGACTAAACTTTAACTAAAATGAAAACGGAAAATATTAAAAGAAAAAAATCGGATCTAATTCAAAATATTATTAATACATTTTTTGTAACTAATATTATTTGTAACTAAATATTAGTTACAAACCAACTTGTGTGTATAACAGGGTTATTTACTAAAACTGAAATTATATAAAAAAAAAAATTTAAAATTAAATAAATGTTAACTAGAAATACAATATAAAATATAAAAACACAATTTCAGCTAGTTGCTAAGACAACATTTCTCATTTTGTTTAGTTTAAGTCGATATGGAAGCATTATATATCACGTAAGGGGAAAAAAAGTCATGCTTTGGTAAATAATCATGACATTAAAAGTCATAATTCTGACATAAAATCTGAAATAATGACAAAAAAAAAGTCAAATATATGATTCAACAATGTATTTTTTTTCCTTACATGGTGGACATGGGCTTCGATAAAGTACGAAAAAACTTAAAACTGAAACAATAGAAAAAAAGACAACAATATGACTAAAACTTGAAAATTAAAATGATAATAGAAAAAAAACTAACTAACATTATAATGGTATCTGAATGATGTGAACTATCTAGAAGCGATTAGAGTCCTCAGGAGTTGAGTCTTTCTCTGCACATGCACTAATATGACATGAAATCACCCGTATCCTCTTGACCATGAAACTGATGTTGCGGATGCCCATGAAGTCTGTGCCCTGGTAGATGGCATCAATGGCCTTGACGTGACTGGAGATCTGCGCAGGAACACAGAGCAGCATCATCATCATCATCATCATCACTCACTGATCTAGCTGTCTCCGCAGGTCAGGACGCACCTGAGCGATCACGGCCTCTCTGGTCTTGTAGTACTTGTAGAAGAGGTGATCGGTTTGGATGAAGAGCTGGCAGGTGTTCTTCTCCACCTGCGTCATCCTCTTCTTCCTCAGCAACACGTGATCCTCCTGAAGGGAAAGACAGACGCTTGTGCAGCTGCAGTTTCTCTGAATAAGGAGTCAAGCAGACTCAGATGTCTGACCTTGGCCGGTTCCTCCAGCGCCGACGCCTGATACTTCTTCATTCGCTCAAACACAGACGAATCTGCACAGCCGCCTTCCGGCCCGTATCTGTGCGGATACTCTGGATCACATGACAGAGAGGGACAGACCGTCAGCATGTTACAATCACGAAACCCAGTCAAAGCAGCGGCTCTCACGTCACTCTGAACACGAGCACCAGTGAGCAGGATCAGAGGAGTTAAAGGGGTCATATGATGCGATTGAGGACCTACAATAATGTACAGTATTTGAAAAATAATGTGTTTTTTGGACATTAAAGCATGTCAACATATTCTGTTACACCAAATACACAAAATAATGATCTTTAAAAAAAGCATCATATGACCCCTTTAAACAGGAACATGTGACCGCTGAATGACCAATCAGAATCAAGTGCTCCAGAGAGACGAGCTCATTAGTTAATATATGAACTAGCATTATCAATGTGCAATTCTGTTACAGTATTTATGAACATCAGTTAATCAAAATACAGCTGAGGTTTATTTAATAATGTTAACAGATAGAACTTTTTTGATTTTAATTGCGTATTAGTAATTGTTGAATTTAACATTAACTAAGATTAATAAATGCTTTAAATACTTTTCATTGCTAGTTGCTGTTAACTGATGTTGACAAATGGAAACTTATTGTAAAGTGTTACCAACAACTCAGTTTATGATTATGAACAGGGGCAATCAATCAATCCATCAGCACTAGGGATGTTCATTTTGGTTATTTTTCCTAACCGACAACCGACGCTCGTTAACTGATTATTAACCATTAACCGACAAGATTATTTTAAATGAGAATTTAATTAAATTAGAAAGGATACGTGTCTGTGACCCGTTAAAAAATAGTAACATGTGTTTCCCTGGATTTATTTTACATGCGCAAAAAGCAGCAAACAACAGAACATGAGGATTCACATGGTCTTCGTATCACATCACGCACCTGCAGCGCTTCTGCCAGCGGAGAAAAACATCATAAAGCTAGGCTATAAGCCTATATACGAGAAATATATTTTTACTTAAATAATAAATTAAGAAAACGAAAGAAAAACTGTGCAACAAGTAGCCTAGTATGCAGAGTTTCGGTTCATTTTTGTGCTGCGCGAAAGGAAACAGACGGCAGAAAGCGGCATCCTATTTTTCTTTAGGCTTATTTTACAAAAGCACAAAGATTTGTTTTTATTGTGAATGTACACAAATAAAGGCAAACCTTTTACATTCCGATTTTCTTTAGGACTACAAGGAGTAGTTTCTTCCACTGTTAGAAGGAAGAAATTCAAGTGATTGCGCCGGTGCCGCATGTGCACACAGTTAAGCATTGCTACCTTGACAATGCAGCCTGTTCATTATCATAATAAAATACAGTCAGTAAAACATATGGGAAAAACACACTGCTCAGTTTAAATATGTAGTCGAATCTGTGCCGTTAAGCGTTATCACCGTATTGCCGTGATGTTATGCAAAACATTTAGTTTTACGTGGATATTGAAACGCGTGTGAAGTAGACCTACATAATAAATAATATTTTGGCATTCAAATACATTGCGAATACGGAAACATTTGATTTTGTGTCGAATGAGAGACCCAACGTTGGCTTCAGTTTCGTTTTAGCCTAAATTAATTTGTTTTGGCTTGTCGTATATACAGGTGCATCTCAAATTAGAATGTCGTGGATACTTTCCAGAAGGCCAACAATTCACTAAAAATGTTTTTTTTATTGGTCTTATGAAGTATTCTAATTTGTTGATAGTAAATTGGTGGGTTTTTGTTAAATGTGAGCCAAAATCATCACAATTAAAAGAACCAAAGACTTAAACTACTTCAGTCTGTGTGCATTGAATTTATTTAATACACGAGTTTCACAATTTGAGTTGAATTACTGAAATAAATGAACTTTTCCACTTCATTCTAATTTATTGAGATGCACCAGTAGCTATAGCTTCTTATATTTTTAATTCTTGTTCTTTTCTAAACACTGTTAATTGAAAGGATTTGTTGTGGAGTGAGGGGAACTAAAATAGCCTAGCTATGTTTACAGTGTTTATTATAATGTTTGTAAACATTTCGTGCCTATTTCTGAATGAAATAATAAAATGCGACTTGTTTTTTTTTCCTCTAAAAAAAAAAAACGAAATTCTTTTTATAAGCGTAGCGTATTTCAACCATGCAGCAAACCTTTTTTAATATTTTGATAAATTACAAAAAATAAATAAAAAGAATGACTGATACAGGTGTGTGCAGATCTTGCTTTCTCCATAAATGATCTGAAACAATGAATCTGCTGAAGTGAATCGCACACTGCTTGAGTTAGTAGCATCACTAGTTTAGGCAACTTTTACTCTCAGTTTGGCAAAAACATTTTCAGAGCAGCACTAGGAGGCTGGAATGAAGACTAAAGCGGTTTTAATGGTTGTTTTGTAGCTGTTTGCTCATGAGGCGCTGAAGGCTGGATAAACTCCCTCTCCAGATGAAGGTGTGATCTATGAATGCATCTCTCACATACTGCACATGATCTCAGTGATGATGTCAATAATTCAGACACGTGTTTTCTCATTGGATAAAGACACGCTATCTCATGAGTAATAATGAGACACTGATGAGGCAGAGACGCACTAGAATGTGAGAAGCGACACATCCTGATGAAGATGAAAACTGAGCAAAAGAGCTCGTGATTCTCCTATGATTAAAATGAATGCATGCTAACATCGTCTTTAATGATGTTCAGTGTAGTTTAGTGCTCTGCAGCCAGACGGCTCACTCACGGATGTCGTCCTCGTGGTAGATGACGGAGTGGAACGGGACGTTCTTGTCCTGCAGGTATCTCTCGACCGGCTCCACGTAATACGTCCCTCGATGGGTCTGAATGAAGCCCTCGAACGTCCCGTCCATGACCGAGCCGTGCGTCAGAGAGCCGTGTTCACCTGAGGAGAGACGGATCAAACCTCACTAACTCACGAGAAGAGCCGGATCTCCGGTCAGCAGCAGGAAACTCCACAAGAGACACAATATCAGCCAATTACATCACAGCCAAACCAACCAGATTCATTCAGCTCCGCAAGACTGGTTCATGTTTCTGAGAGTCTCTTCTACTCACCACGGCTGCTTTTATTTAATCAAAAATACAGTACAAACTGTGAAATATTATTACATTACACAGCTGTTTTCTCTGTGAATATCTGTTAAACTGTAATGTATTTCTGTGATGCAGTGCTGTATTTTCAGCATCATTACTCCAGTCTTCAGTGTCACATGATCTTCAAAAATCAGTATAATATGCTGATTTGCTGCTCAAGAAACATTTTTATTATCGATATGGAAGCATTATATATGCACGATTATTATCAATGTTGAAAACAGTTGTGCTGCACAATATTTTTGTGGAAACTGTGATGCATTTTATTTTTCAGGATTCACAGATGAATAAAGTTCAAAAGAACAGCATTTATTTGAAATAGAAATTTGCTGTAACATTATAAATGTCTTTACTGCCACTTTTGATCAGTTTAATGCATCCTCGATGGATAGACGTATTGATTTCTTTCCTTGAAGGGTGTGTAAACACACTGGGATTCATTAAGGATAATGTAAGCCTCATCTAAATGTCCCGACGGCTGTGATTGGCGTTTCTGCTCACCGTACAGTTCTCCAGTGTAGATGTGCGAGGTGTCGTAGTCCAGCTCCTCTCCAGACATCTCCAGCTTAAAGCCGTCTGAAAACAGCCTGCTGTCTCGCTTCATTCGGAGGCTGAAATGTCTGAGAGATGGAAACAAGCAGCAAGAAGAGATGAACACACACACATCACGGGACGAGAGATGGTCACACGACCTCAGCTCTACTGTCACTCAGACACTGACGAATCACTGATACGACCTCATCGGTCCACAGACGGACAAATCCACTGACTTAGATTCTCTCTCAGAAACACAGGCTCAAAGCTGTCACTGGGGTAGCACTTTTTCAGAAGGTTCATCATCACTGTACCTCATTTAGCTCTGAACGGTCTGCACTGGTCCCTAAATGATACAGATCAGTCCATAAATACACACATTAGTACTTTAGTAAAGCTGCCGCCCCAGTGACAGCTTTTGTACCTGTGTTTCAGAGAGTGTTGAGACTGAAAAACCCAGAGTTCAACAGAAATAATGTAGATCTAGTGTACGGCCATCAGATCTCTCAATGCTGTCTGGATAAATTCTAAACAAAAAACATTTCTCATCATATACACTGCTGTTCAAAAGCTTGGGATCAGTGAGATTTGTAATGTGTTTTAAAGAAGTCTCTTCTGCTCAAGCCTGCATTTATTTGATCAGGAATACAGTAGAAACCGTAATATTGTGAAATATTATTACCATTTAAAATAATGGTTTTCTATTTCAATATACTTCAACATGTAATTTATTCCTGTGATCAAAGCTGAATTTTCAGCATCATTGCTACAGTCTTCAGTAGGGCTGCACGATATATCGAAATTATAGAAATGTAAATATCGCAATATGCATATCGCAAGGGCGTGCGATATCTGAATCATTTTAATAATAGGCTATTTAAATCAAAATGTTGCAAAAGGTCAAAGTTTTAGTTCGACGTATAGCAGAGAATTGCTTGACGTTACAAAGAGTTATTAAGTGCAATAAGTTGCAGAAAACAACTCTTTGCCGTCTCGTCTTGCTGTCAGACTCACACCTGAAGCGTGCATACAAGCGCATCTCGCACAGCGTATCTTCCGTTCTGCCGCACACGTGCAAAGCACACGCGCACACACTATTCTCTTTCTATGAAACCTGTAAACCGCATTCACCGGTTCTAACTCTATAGCGATATCAACTCTATAGCGGCTTACCCGAGCATTGCAATTCATTCGCTTTCGCAAATGGCTTTCCCAACTAATTTATGCGTGTGTGCGGCACATTATTTCTTCTTAGAGGGAACATTGGCCTTGGCCATTCAAAGCGGCCAAGGTTCCTAGACCTTCTGCCGTCAGTCTGAAGATCTGGCTATGCACGACTAGTTAGTATGGCGTTCGGACGGATTCTTTAATATGACGTTGCAACATGCACTTGTCTCACTGAACGTCTCACTGACGTCTTAAATGTTAGTTTTTTTTTTGCTATTTAATCCATTCATTTTAAGACGCAGACGAGGCGTAGACGTGACATAGACGTCACGCAGACGTCACGTAAATCACGTGTATGACGTCTGCGTCTGACTTTTTTTTTTTTTTAATTGCAGTTTTTAGTTCGTCTGTCTTTTTCCCGGCTAACATACAATATACATTATGTATTAAATAGAAATATATTCATATATAATAATATAAAATTTAGACATTTTTTTTTCCATTACACTCTTTGTAATAAGACATTTGGGGCTGTTACCAAACCAATAAAATCATTATAAACAAAATTCATCTTTGCAAAGCAGAGGAAACACAGAAGCTGCATCTGAAGAGGAAACACTGTTTAATGCAGGACATGAATGCTTTAACCTGCAGTTACAATGGGAATCATCAATTTTGTTTAGAATTTATCCAGGGAATCACTCTTTGTGTGATACTCTCTTCCCCATCACACAGCTGCTGTTGCAGCCATTACAATATTTGTAATATTGCGCTTTGCTGGACATGGAGGCGCCAGCGCGATCCCCCCCCCAAATAACAGTGGTAACTTAAAGATAAGCTGTCATTTTTGCTCATAAAAGGTACGAGTATACATCATTCGGAACTGCAAAAAATTGTGCACTCACAATATCAATATCACGTAAAACAAACAAACAGGAAAACCAACAGGATGCGCATTTTGCGTCTCTGACTTGAGCAGGAGGGCTTCACAAAAATGAACCGAAACTCAGCGAATACTTGCCTCATAGACATGATAAACATATCTATAAAATGCTTTCCCAGTCTTCAGGGTCCACATGATCTTCAGAAATCATTCTAACATGCTGATTTATTATCAGTGCTGGAAACTGTTGTGCTGCTTAACTTTTTTTTTTTGTGGAAACTGGGATATTTTTTTCAGGATTCTCTGATGAATAAAAAGTAAAAAAAAAAAAAGGAAGAGCATTTATTTGAAATAGGAATCTTTTCTAACAATATACACTACAGTTCAAAAGTTTGGGGTCAGTTTTTTTCTTTTTCTTTTTTTTCCTTTTGTTAAATTGATAAAAAGTGTCAGTAAAGACATTTCTAATGTTGCAAAAGATTTAATAATTCAAATAAATGCTGTACTTCTGAACTTTCTATTCATCTGTGAGTCCTGAAAAACAAATTGTATCAGTTTCCCCAAAAATATTGTGCAGCACGACTGTTTTCAACATTGATGGTAATCAGAAATGTTTGTTGAGCAGCAGATCAGCATATTAGAATGATTTCTGAAGATCATGTGACACTGAAGACTGCAGTAATGATGCTGAAAATACAGCTGCGCATCACAGAAATACATTACAGTTTAACAGAGATTCACATAGAAAACAGCTGTTTTACATTGTAATATTTCACAACTTTACTGTTTTTTTCTGATCAAATAAATGCAGGCTTGGTGAACAGAAGAGACTTTTTAAAAAAACATAAAAAATCGTACTGATCCCAAGCCTTTGAACGGCAGTGTGGATTAACAATCAGAGATAATTATCATGACGAGATCAGACAAGCGAGTCTTTTAGCTTTTATAAATCTTCTCTTAAGCTTTTATGTGATTATTTTGTAATTGTTTTTTTTTTTTTTTACTACATTCTACTTAATTTGTTCTGATGCAGTTTTAATTTTGCCTTTCAAAGTATATGTACTTTTGTAAAGCGCTTTGAGATGCAACTTTTAAAGGCTCTATGAAAAATAAAGTTTATTATTATTTTGCTGCGTTCAAGCTGTCTGCATTACTGCACATATGAAACAATAACTATGAGCCGTTCACATCACGTGCAAATCATTTCTGTGATGCCAAGATGGGTCCAAGGAGTTTGAGCAACAGTACACCGATCCCCCGCTGAAGTTCCGACCATCATCAGAAGGCACATGACCCGCTGAAGACGCTCCGCTCGAGACTCACCTGCCGTGTGCGTGGAACTCCAGCTGCAGCTCGCGCTCCTGCAGTGACAGCGCTCTCTTCGCTCTCTGGTGCCGGCTGTGCAGCAGCTCCGTGTCGTACGACAGACCCTCATAGTGCCGGATGTACTTGCTCAGGGGGTTGCCATAGTAACCTGTCAGACCACATGTGACAATGAGCACGCCTGCGATTGGCCCGCGGTGATCACATGACTCATTCTTCAGTACAACGAGCTCATTTCACACGTAACACACCAGATATCTGCAGTTACAGCGAGGTGAAAGGAAATACGAGCACATCAGCATAAACTGAGGACAAACGTGTGTATGAAACGTCTTCAGATCTTTCATGAAGCCCATCACATATATACAGGATAATAACTAATACAGCACAGTGCAACATGAAAGAAACACATTATTCATTTCATCTAGTACCAACATGAAGGGAATTCTTATGAAAAGTGTGAGCCGTCAGTTCAACATTAAAAAGCAAAGCTGCCTTCCAATGAGCCGGATTTATTCATGCAGTTCTTGTAATAACACATGTATAAGACAGAATATTACAGGTTTAAAAGCTATGGCTGATGATGGGTTATAATTGCAAAAAACATCTCATTTTAAAAGCATAAAATGCACATCCTTCTTCTTGTACATTCCTGTTCATCTGTATATGTACTGTGTTTAAGTCTACTGTATACTGTCCTGTACTTCAGGCTTCTTTCTTTGTTACCATCTTATTATCTCGGTTTATTTTTTCTTGTATACTTTAGAAATAATTGCAGTTTATGGAGTGGACCTGATGTACATTTCACTGATAAAAATATTGAATCGTAAAAGCTTTTGTTACTTATAAAATATACTTTTATTTTTTCTTGTATACTTTAGAAATAATTGCAGTTTATGGAGCGGACCTGATGTACATTTCACTGATAAAAATATTGAATCGTAAAAGCTTTTGTTACTTATAAAATATACTGGGGGGGGAAAAAAACTTATTTGCCAAGGCAAATGTTCAAATTTTCATTAAGTTTAAGTAGAAGAAATAAAATAGCGAAGACTAAACCTCAAATAAAAATGATTTACAATCTAATAAATTAAAAAAAACACTAAAAATTGCTACAACTTTAAAATGAAAACTACAACAGTGCATCAATCACACAAAAATAACAATATCAATAATATCAACTTTAAATGAATGAAGATCATATTGCTGAAATGAAACCTTATTTGAAGAGAATATCTTGTGCATGTATTTTTGTAGTTTTGCAGAGCGATCCGGCTCAGACCTGCTGCAGTAAACACGCAGTAAACAGCAGTCTCGGGATGAAGCAGAAGTGTTTATGGATGAAGCCTCGTCCATCTTACGCTGGATGTGTGTTCACGTTAGCTCTCCTCTACCGGCCGCGGATCCTCGCGTCCCTGGGCTCATTCGACTCTTTTCAGCTCAAAGAACCCTTCGGGCCCGAATCCGCCGCGAACATCGACGGGACATCGGCGGATTTGCGGGAATGTGGGAGTAACGGCCGCGCTAGCGTTAGCCGAGACGCGCGCTCGCAGCATCCCTGAACAAGAGCCGAACCGAACCGAACCGAACCGCGTCCAAACGCTCGCTCGCACACACGCACGCACACTCACCTCGAGCGGACCTGAGGGCGCAGAAGAGGCACAGCAGCACCGACAGACGCATGTTTAGCGCATGGATGATGGACGGGCTGGGTTTTATTGTTTACAGCCTCAGCCTCAGCCTCGGGTTCGGGGATTGCGTGCTGACGTCAGACGCACAGAGGCCGTCAGCGAGCCCCTCCCCCACGCTCAAGAGCCGCGCGGTGCTGCGAGAAACCCATTGCATGTAATTTACAGAACCAGATTTTTTAAAGAATTAAGAGTAACTGGAGTACATTACATGCTAAAAGGCTAGTAATCAGATTACAGTTACTGTTTTATGGATTACATGATTACATGCTATTCACACAACAGCAGTAAATGATCATTTAGCCTACTGATTCTTCCTAATTATTTTTTCTCTTTGAAATTTTCCTTTCTAAAATATTACTGTGTGTCATATTGCATTTACTATATTCACACGTTGTTTAAATAAACGAGCAAGCCATGCTTCTGAATTTGAGGGAGAGAGGTATAAACAGATGATCAGTAGCTGTGAAATCATCTCATCCAGTGACCTGCTGACTCTGGACTAAACTATTTCAGACCCGGAACACTTTGATCTCATTGCTGATTTCATGTTTATTAATGTTTGTTCGTGTAATGCAGGGATTCCCAAACGTTTTGTCACCAAAAACCCCTTAGAATAAAATATTTACTTGAAATATCTCTGAGAAAGTTCATATTCCAATAATTTAACAATTCGCATGTTTACAGTTCTCTGATGTTGGTTAAAGGCCACACTGACATTTAGTATTTCAATTATTATGATTATTATCATTTAATTATTAGCCTTGTATCGCCTCACAAACCCACTGCAGTTCTGACATTAAACCCAGTTTGGGAAACTTTGCTGTAATGTAATGTTTAATTCATTTTGTGATGCTGATATAAAAAGAATAGAATGTATTTTCTTTCGCTTTGTTTTGTTTTTATATCAACGTGTTACATTTAATGATAAGTTTAAAACACTAACCTAATCTGTAATCAGTAACAGACAGACATTAGACTCAGAAGTGTATTTTTTCCACAAACGGACTGATTTTTGGAGCAACTCTGTGTTTACGTCTTGATGACTTCTTACAGTAACAACATACAGTGAAAAACTGATTTTTTTTCTGAGTTTTTTGTTTTTTTTTACACAGCTGAGTTAAGGCTCAAAATGCTGTAAACACCAGACTAAATGATGTTTTTCAAGAAAACAGTCATGGTTTTAGTGTAAATGCACCTGTCTCCTCTGAGCAGCATTAATCAGTCTGTGTAAAGACACAAGCGCCTCTGTGCCACCTTTGCAGTAACTCTGGTGTTAATAGAAAGCACCGTGCACTAATACAAGTGTTTTCTTATCAAGCATAGCGAACTGTTTTTGCAAAGCCCATTCATATGTATTAAGATTTGTTCCGCTTCCACTGGCATCGTTTTTTGTTTTTTTTTAAACCAACAAAAATTTATTAATCTTCAAGATTTTTAACCCTTTAAATGGCAGTTTCTTTACATAACACGGTCGTTTTTATGAAAAAAATATTTTGCTTATACTCAGTGCTACACTCTAAAAAATGCTGGGTTGTTTCAACCCAACTTTGGGTCAAATATGGACTAACCCAACTTTTGGGTTAAAACTTTAATTAAAAAATGTAACCCAACAGCTGGGTTAGTCCATATTTGACCCAAGGTTGGGTTGAAACAACCCAGCACTTTTTAGAGTGTAGCATGATTAAAAATGACATTAATTTTGATGCATTTTTTGTGCAGTGTTATATTAAAAAATATATATAAACCATATCCATACCAACACACTCACAGAATTATGATTACAAACTCTCAATCTAATTGGTCTTTTTTTTTTTCTTCAGCAGAATCAGAAAAGCAGCGTTTGCTCCATGGGCCAAACATGAGAAAACAGTGCTATCACGTGGAGGGAAAAATAGTAACAATGTTAACAAAGGCTGCGTGATTCTGCTCTTAAATGGCACTGGGATTTTTTTGCCCTGAAGGTCCAGAGTGTAGCTATTTTTTATTTTGTGTGTATACCTACTGTAAAATAGATTTAAGAAAGAAAATGAAGGCAATATATATATATATATTAAAACAACACATGCAGGTCCATTGCACAATGATCAATAAAAGAAAAAGACAAGAATATGCCTGAAGAGCACAAGGTTAACCCTTATCCACATGGCTTTCTGAGTTGTTGGAAAGACTGGTTAACCTATGATTTTTTTCTTGATATTTAAAGTTATGAACAGATCAACACTCGGGTGTGTTGAGGAATATGTGAACAGAAGAGGCGACGACACAGAGAACAGATCTACTGCTCCTTACTGCAGCCTTTCTGTGGCTCTTGAGAAGACTCAACTCTCCCCTCCACAAAATAAGACCTAAAAAGATTGAAATCAGAGCGGAAACTCATAAAGTCATAAAGTCATGGCATTAAATGTTACATGAACTGAAATGAATGAATATCTTTCTTAGTATTTTTCTCTTGTTTTCCAGTACAAATATCTAAACATCCTTAAATCAAGATTACTTGGCATTACTTTATGAAATAAATGACCCATAATCAGTTTTTTTTATGGTGTTAGTGCTATTAGCCAACACACGTATTTGATGTCTCACGTGCCTGTAATCAATGGGGTAAGAAGTTCTTGTATGTTTTTGTGTATCTGATGTATTGGTTGTAACGTCAAGTGTTTTGGGGCTGAAGATGAATTTCCTCATGTGTGGACAATAGTGATTTCTAAGAGACATTTACTTAACATAAAAAAAAAAGATATTAAGTCTTGTTTTCTGAGAAACTGAACAAAATGAAGTGAGTTTATGATCAAAACGAGAACAAATATCTGTCAGCGGAGAATGAAAACGTGTTTTCTTTTGAATGAAGTTGATTTCTCTGACTCCATTGATAGATATTTGTTATTGTTTTAATCACAAACTCACTTCATTTTGATCAGATTCTCATGGAACATGAATGAATTCATTTTTATTCTCCAGTAAATGTATCTTGTTTTATGAATCTTCAGGCATTTGCACTGGAAAACAAGACAGAAATCCTGAGGGAGAGCAACAGTTTTCTGCAGTTTGATCATTTGTCATTTTGCTCATCAGACTGTTTCCTTGATCCTATTGATAGGATGTCATTACGTTGCCGAAGGGCCAGGAACATCCTCGAGGACCTGTCACACCCAGGACACACCTGATCAGTCTGCTACAGATCCTGAAGAACAGGGAGCAGTTTCTTCCTGCTGCTGTCAGGACTCTAAACTCACTAATGCACTGAGGCAAGGTCAATGTTAAAACACGTTTCCAGTCACGCCACTCAACTACAGTCTCTGTCTATACCACTGTTTTTATACAATATGCGGAGTGTGAATATGATCACCTGGTCACTTTGTTTATCAGGACTTTAACAAATGCAGTGCAATACTATATCTGCTCACTGATCACTACTGCCACTTATTCCATTTCAGTTTCTACTTTCTGTATATACTTACTGTTTCATATCAGTGCAGAGGTCAATGTGCAGTTCTGTCAATGCTCACTGTACTCAGATTGCTCAATGTGCAATATTATGACTCGGTCACTTGTTGTATATACTTTTATAATTGTACTGTAGAGTCTAGTATGTTTGTTTTCTAACAGCAGTCAGGAGCAGTGCTCCTAGTTTCATTGTATATAGAAAAATACAATGACAATAAAGGCTTTTATTTTATTTCAACGCAATATCTGTCACTGCATTTCTCCAGCAGCCACTGGATGGCGCTGCACTCACACTCAAAGTGATGCTCTGTGGGTATGGCAAGCCCTTTTAACTTTTCATGTTTAAAACATCTGATTTGATGTTGAACTTGACACTTGATCACTGACGCTGAGTCTAGTAAGACTACACTGTTATATAATTGTGATTTGCTCGTTTGAACTACTGTACGTGTGGTCTATTTTCATGCTGCTACTACTTATTTTTTTAGACACTAGAATCTATTTGATTAGCTACTAGTGCTAATTCTTTATGTACTACTATCATTTTTAAAGATACTAGCACTTATTCATTAGATACTAGTTCTTGTTTATTAGATACTAGTATTTATTTCAGTAGTGACTAACATTTAATTATACTTATTAGGAAAAATTGAAAGTAACTTATTTTTTAGTTAGGCCTACTTGTAACTTTTTAAGCAAGGATATCATGAACTCAATAGTTACTAGTACTTTTTAAATGTACATTTCTGCTCAGAATGCTAATAATATGTTGAATATTAATTAACCGTCACAAAGCTGTTGGCTAGAGATGAAGCAAATGATCAAAACTAATGGATTTGATTGATTAAGGATTTAATATTGAAATACAGATAGAAATCCACTATGGGAAAATAAATCCAAATATAGGCTGTCAGCAGTTTTGTTGATCAGTGCTCTGTAGATTAGATTATAAACACTCAATTATTAATCTTTTGTAATATGTTACAGCTACTAAGACATTAAAGATTGAAGATGGGCTGTTTTCCTGGTGCTCATGACGAACGATCACATGAATTATTCTGATCAGATGTAGTGAAAACTAAACAATGCTGTTTTCCTCCTAAAAGTAAACACACTTTGATAATGTTCTCATATCTGCAGGATAAGATTGTCGTGTTGAGACATGTAACGTGTTCTGGTCTTCATGATCAGCCTGCTTTGAATCTCGTTAACATCTGATATCTGTCAAATGACCCTCTGTCTCACTCGGATTCCATTCTCATTACATTAAAGCAAAGTTTGCAGCAATCGTTTATCTGTCATCCATCGTCCACTGCTCATTTTGAAACATCTGTGATCCGTTTACTGCTTTTAATAAAAAATGTGGCCATTTTTACAAAGTCTAAGGTTCCACTTTATATTAAGTGTCCCTAATACCTGTGTACTTACATAGTAACTAGATGTGTACGTAGTATGTAACCACAGTGTAAGTACATATTGGTACATAGTATCTACACACTGTTAAAAATTTCAGACCTCCCCAACTCAACGTTTTCTAGTGACTGATTACATCAAAATTTTCCATTGGCCCAAATGAATTTCTGCTAACTGAATTTTATCAATTGTGGCAACAGTCTGTTAACATTGGCTCAATGAGAAATAATATGTTGA